GCTGCCGCTGCCGCCGAGCTCTCCGTTGCCCGGCCCCACCTCGGCCCGAGCAGCCGCGGCCGGGGGGGTCGCGGGAGGAAGAGGAGGAACAGGAGAAGGAGGAAGATCGTTGCCGCGGATCACGCTCGTTCCGCAGCCCGCCCGGATTTCCGAAAAGTTGCCGAGAGCCTTGGAGAAAAGGACGCGGCGAAGCGGAGCGCGCCGCCGGGTCGGCCCAGCCGTGCCGCTTCCTTGCTCCTGTGTTGCCTTGTGGCGGACCTCGCTCGTCCTCGGGCTCCCGTCTTCGCTTCTGCCGGCCGCCCCGAACAGCCGCCAAGCTGGAAGACCGTCGGAAAGGAGAGCCCCGGAGGTGAGAAGGGGGGAAAACTTGGGCACGGCCGGGCGCGGGGAAAGCGCGCTGAGCGGACGGCGGGCTTCGTGCTTTTTCTCTCGCTGACCCGACCGAGGTCGACGCTGGTCGGGTGGCGCGAACCGAGCTGACCCGACTTGGCTTTAAACAGGTCGTCTGAACGCGGCCAGCGGCCGCTTCTTTCTGCAGCTAGGGCTTAACCCGGCCGTTTTCTCTTCTACGGGCGGGCAGGCAGGCAGGCGGACGAGGGGATCTCCTGCTTCCTTCGCCCGGCTGCTTTTCCGCTTCCCGGCCCTGCTGCGAGGTGGGGAAGCGGAGAGGAGAACCGGCAGGTGCCGGGTTGGGGGGTGGGTGGGTTCCGCCACACCTGCTGCTTGAGCGGGACGTTTGAAGTCGTCCACGGTTGCTCCGCCCGTTTGGTTTGCTTGATGGGCGGGCTGGGGCTGCATAAAGTGCCCGCTGGCTGCGTTCACACGAAACGCGTTCAGCCAAGTCGGGTCAAGACCTGGTAGCTTCATTACAGCTTGCTCTCCTCTTGGTTGGCGTTGACCTCGGTTCGGTTGGGGTTAAGGTGTGAGTCTTATTATAGGACGAGAGCCTGGAAGTTGAATTGGCTAGTAGCCGGGTTCAGTTGGTTGTAGGAATGCAGCCCTTGCTTGCGTGCTCGGCCCGGGCAGCTGCGCCCCTTCCCTGTCCTCCTGCTGCCGCTGCCGCCGAGCTCTCCGCCGCCCGGCCCCACCTCGGCCCGGGCATCCGCGGCCCTTCGCCGTCCTCCCGCTGCCGCCATGGGGCTGTCCGCCACCCGGCCCCACCTCAGCCCGGGCAGCCGCACCCCTTCGCCATCCTCTCGCCGCCACCGGCGGGAGTACCGAAGGTCCAGAGGGTTCCCTCCTGCTGCGGAGCCACAGTGCCTGGGGCTGACAGGCAAGGGTGTGTGGGGGTATTCGGGGCCTAAAAAGTCCTCCAGGACAGGCTCGGGGCCGGCCC